AACTCTTTAGGGAGCACTACTGCCACTTTACATGTCAGGAGACTGAGGTACACTACAGTTGAGACCTATTTATACACCAGGTCTGCCAGACTCCACAGTCCATGTGCTCTGTCATCTATCTTTGCTCTTCAGGGTGTGACCCCTGGATTAGCAGCCCCGGCCACTGGCATCCCCTGGGTGCTTGTTAGAAATGCAGACTCTTAGGCCCCACCCTGGACTTCCTGCATCAGAATGTGCATTTTAAAAAGCCCCCTAGATGATTTGAATTTCCATTAACATTTGAGAAATAAGATACTACACTTTTTCTCATCAACACTGGGAGAATACCTCCAATAAAAGAAAAACTGGGAATTCAAATCAAAACTACAATGAGATACCACTAAACACCCATTAGGAGGGCAAGGAGGAGGAGGAGGTGGAGAAGACAAGTGTTAGCAAGGATGTGGAGAAATCAGAAACTCCTTACAATGCTGTTGGGAATTTTAAATGGCACGGCTGCTGAGGAAAACATTATGGAAGTTCCTCAAAAAATTAAAAATAGGAATTACCAAATGACCCAACAATTCCACCTCTGGGTATATGCCCAAAGGAAATGAAAGCAGGGACATAAAACAGGTATTTTTGCACACCCATGTTCACAGCAGCATTACCCACAACAGCCAAGAGGTGGCAGCAGGCCAAATGTCTACCAATGGATAAGGGGATAAGCGAAACTGGGTGTACAGATCCAGCAGAGTATCATTCAGCCTCAAAAGGGAGGGAAATCCTGACACATGCTAAAGACAGAGGAACCTTGAGGACATTATGCCAAGTGAAATCAACCAGACACAGAAGGACAAATACTATATGATTCCACTTACGTGAAGTCCTTAGAAGTGACAAATTCAGAGACAGAAAACATGATGGTGGTTGTCAGGGGCTAAAGGAGGGGGATGGGGAGTTGTTTAATGGGGACAGTTTCAGCTGGGAAACATGAAAAAGTTCTGTGGATGGATGGGGGTGATGGCTGCACAACACTGTGAAGGTACTTAACAGCACTGAACTGTACTCTTAAAAATGGTTAAGATGGTATTTTACATTATGCATATTTGACCACAATTTTCAAAATGCTTTAAAACAAAAAAGGAAACCTAAGATTGTGGGAGATGTCTCAAGCTTGTAGCAGGAGTGCACCCTATAATTCTTTCTTGCTCCTAAGCCTTAAAATTTCAAGCTTTACTCCACTTTTCCTGCACCTACATCATGCCCTTTGAATCACTTTGTAGGAACAAATTAATGTGTGGGTGTATTTTAAAGTTCCTGTCATCTGATTTATCACCCCCTCCCCATGATCCAAAAGGCATTAACCCCACAACCTATTTGACAAAATCTGAACATTGGAAAAAAAGTACGTATTTTACAGTTATTTACCAAAGAGGCCTTGCGATGAGTTTATTTTATATGTGTGCCTAGGTTGACAGTTCAGGACTTAGGCTGAAGGTGTCAGTGGGGGGATCTGTGTCTAGCCCTCTCTTAGGAGAGCTGTTCATTCAAGGTTCTCCCCTAAGTAAGAGAGTCCTTGCCTACATGCATACTGTCAGGCATTCACGCCTCCATGGCTCTACTGTGAGTACGGTACACAATCGTAGTAATGAAAACAAGGAATGCCCACTTAACTGTTTCTGGAGGATGGCAGAGGGAGGAATGTGGTTGGGATGGAAGAGAATTCCTTATCCCTACTTAGTGGTGATCAACAGGTGCTATCTAAAACTGAAGGAAAGGAAGGCAGGAAGCAAGGGAAAAAGGAAGGAGAAAAGGAAAACAAGAAAAGAGAGGGGATAAAACAGGTTATTTAGAAACATGGAGGAAAATAAAAGATTTGAAAGTGGCTGCTTGATAAGTGGAACTTGGGAGAGAGCAGACTAAGACAGTATTATATAGACTATCTTAGTCTGTTCTGGCTGCTAGAACAAAAACATACCAGATGGGGGCTTAAACAACAACCATTGGTTTCTCTCAGTTCTGGAGGCTGGAAGTCCAAAATCAAGGTGCTGGCAGATTCAGTGTATCGTAGCAGCCTGATTCCTGGTCTTCTTGCTGTGTCCTCACATGGTACAGGGGGGAAGGACAATCTTTGGGCTCTTTTATAAGGACACTAATCCCATTCAGGAGGGCTCTGTCTAATTACCTCCCAAAGGCCTTACCTCCTGATACTTTGATTATAAATAAAATTGAAAAGTTACCTGAATGATATACACAGTACTTGGCACAAAACAGATGATTGATAAATGCCTGTACTTTCCCTTCCATCACTAACACACAGAACATAAATTACCGATGTCCATGGGTGACTTGCCTTCAACCCTTTCCTCCGTAGCTCAGAGAATACATCGTGACTATTGTCCAAAGCAATCCACCATTAACTCTTCAAAAGAATCTGAGAAGCTTTGCATGAAACAGAAAAGTGATGGCAAGAAAAACTTATAATAATCATCTGAAATACATGTACAAACAACAGGCATGTGCACACTTGACTTCAACAATCAATTCAACTTCCAGAGGCAACTTGTCCACAGCTGGCAAAATTACTCCAGGCACGTTCCAGTTGGCCCAGCGATTCCAAGTCCAAGAATTTCTCCTATAGAAATACTCACATATGCACAAAATGTGTGGAAAAGCAGCTTATAATATTAAAAAATTAGTAACAACTCAATTGCCCAACAGCAGGGGACAAGTTGGACACTTATGATATGTCTACACAACAAAACCAGGGAGCTCTTATGTACCAAATTGCGATGATCTCCAAGAAACATGTAAGTAGAAAAAAACAAGTTGGAAAAAAAGCTGTTATGTTTGTACAGGCATAATTTTATTGCACTTCACAGATACTGAGTTTTCATAAACATCAAGGCAAGACCCTCCACCAACAAAGATCATGACTCGCTAAAGACTCAAATGTAGTTAGCCTTTCTTAGCAAAAAAAGCATTTTTAAATTGAGATATATAGTTTGAAATTCATAGAGAACATTTTGCTAGTTGTCGGATGGGAGGGGGTTGGGTGAAAAAGGGGAAGGGATTAAATGCACACAAATTGCCAGTAATAAAAACAGTCAGGGGGCCAGGGGGCCCTGGCGGGGGGGCTCAGGTGGTTGGAGCGTCAGTCCATACACCAAAAGGCTACGTGTTCAATTCCTCGTTGGGCACCTATGGGAGGCAACTGATCAATGTTTCCCTCACCCTTCCTCTCTCTCTACAATCAATAAATATATCTTTGGGTGAGGATTTTTAAAAAACAGGGATGTAAAGTACCGCATAGGGAATATAGTCAATAATGGAAAAATTACGTGTCATGTCAGTTTAGTACCATGTCATGGGTACTAAACTTATGGGGGTGATCACTTCGTACGTTAGATAAATGTCTAATCACTATGTTGTATACCTTAAATTAATATAATCTTGTATGTCAAAGGTAATTAAAAAAATTTTATTTAAAATGGTATGTCGTGTTTCTTTTTTGGACATAATGCTACTGCACACCTAATAGACTTAACAGTATAGTGTAAATATAACTTTCATATGTTCTGGAAAATCAAAAAACTCATGTGACTCACCTTATTGCAGTGGTCTTGAACTGAACCTGCATATCTCCAAGGTGTGCCTCTATTTTGCTTTAATGTTGATGGAAAGATACATAAAAAATCCATTAATACTGCCCGGGGTGGGAGACTTCATATTATTCTTAATTCTCTTAATACCTTGACTGAAATCTGAACCATTTTAAAGCTAAAAATAAACTTTTATAAAGGGAAGGGAAAAATTGGGGCATCACTGTTCAATGGGCAAGGAATTTGAGTTTAGACTGATGAAAAAGCTCTGGATATGGATGGTGGTGAAGAATGCACATCAATGGGAAGGTACTTCATGCCACAGAACTGTGTACTTAAAGTGGTTAAAATGATAAACTTTACCTTATGTGCATTTTTTAATCCTCAGCCAAGGATATGTTTACTGATTTTTAGAGAGAGGAAGGGAAGAGAGACACACAAACATCCATCGGTTGCCTCCGTATGCGTCAGACCTCGATGGGACCGGCAACCTAGGTTTGTGCACTGACTGGGGATCCAACCTGGCAACATTTATTTTTATTTTTTGGTGCCTCACGCTCCAACCAATCGAACCACCCGGCCAGGGCACGTTATGTGTATTTTACCACAAGAAAAAAGCCAACGTACTTTTTCACTATAAATGTGGCAATCCATATCACCCCCCCGAAAAAAATCCTTGCTCATCCGGCGCTTTAAAATGGAGTGTGGGATTTCAAAGCGCCTGTCTCTGAAGCAGTGCATCCCTTAGCCGCCGCCACCCAGCGGCACTGGTCAGGCCAGGGAAGGAGGAGCCCGTGGGACCCCCAGAGGACGGGGCCCGTGAGGAAACGTGGGTTGCGGGACACCGGAGCGGCGAGCCCGAGGCCACGGGGAGTCGTCAGATGCCGTGCTGGTAGCCTGTTAACCCTTCGGCCACAGGAGCACCCCGGCAGGGTCACCCGAGTCTTCCAACCCGAGCTGCTGGGATACCTGGCCTCCGGCGCCCCATTCAGCCTCCTGTCAGCTGGGAAAGCCCCTTGGGTCCAACCTGCCCACCGCGCGAAACCGTCTGCCCGCTTGTGGGAGCAAGGTCCCTCATCGACGGCCAAGACACTCGTAGAAGGAAGCCATCCGCGCCTGCACACACCCCACGCCTACCCATCTGCCCGCCAGAGGAAGTCGCCCGCCAGGGGAGGTCCCGCGCCTGCGCACACTCCGTGCAAGCGCCGGCCCGGCGCAGGTCGGCTGAGGACAGAGGGGCGGGTTCAGTGTCGTCAGTTTATCGTTCGATCCCTCTCATTGGCTGAGAGTTGGAGCATGGACAAGACCCACCCCTGATTGGGCTGCGCGTAAACAGCTGGAATCGCGTAAGCCAATGGTGGGGCCTGGTGAGGCTCAGGTTCCGACACCTGTCGGCTGTGGGGTGGGTTCGCAGTGTTCTTCGGTAATGGCCTCGGAGAAGCATAGTGTGGCAGTGACCTGCACCGCGCCGGTTAACATCGCGGTCATCAAGTACTGTGAGTACATGAGCTGGAGGGGCAGACGTGGGGGACCGTCTACCGGCGCAGGGGCCCGGATCAGGACGTGAGCCACACAAGATAGCCATCCCTAATGGGGGCGCTCAGCTCCCACAGTCACGCCCACCCCACCCACCTGGGGCCTGCTCTTCATTTCTAGCCGGTTCTCTTTTCAAGAATGCTTCATAAATGGAATCGTTCAGCATGTAGCATTTTGAGATTGGCTCATCTCACTCACTAATTTCTGGAAGTTTATCCAGACGGTAGTGGCACCGGCACTTCTTTTAGTGCTGAGTCCTATTTCCTGGTGTGCATGGGCCACAGGTCATACCCCCTTTGAAAGGCAGCTAGGTTATTTCCAGCTTTGATCTATTAGAAATAAAGCTGCTATAAACTGTTGAGTATGGGTTTTCTTCTCTTTTCTTTTTTTTAATATATTTATTTTCAGAGAGAGGGAAAGGAACATCAGTTGTTTGCCTCTTACATGTCCCCAACCAGGGACCTGGCCTGCAATCCAGGTATGTTCCCTGACTGGGAATTGAACTGGAGACCTTTCAGTTCACAGGCCAGTGCTCAATCCATTGAGCCACACCAGCCAGGGCTGTATGGGTTTTTGTGTCAACATAAATTTTCATTCTTCTAGGATAAATGCCCAGGAGTTCAATTGCTGGGTCATAGGGTAGTTGCATATTTCGCTTTTTAAAGAAACTGTTAAATTGTTTTCCCAAGTGTCTATACCATTTTACATTCCCACCAACAATGTATATTGTCTTTTGGCATTTGGTGCTGTCACTGGTTTCTGTTTTAAGTGATACCTCCTTGTGGTTTTAGCAGGCGTTTTTCTACAGACAGTAACGCTGAACACCTTCATGGGCTTATTTGCCACCCCTGTGTCCTCTTATGAAATGTCTCTTTATGTCTTTTGTCCATGTTTCAATTGGATTGTGTGTGTGTTATTTTTACCATTGAGTTTTTGAGAGTTCATTTTATATTGTAGATACTAATCCTTCGTTGTATACATGGTTTGCAAATATTCCCACTCCAAGTAGCTTGTCTGTTCATCCTCTTAACGGGGTCTTCCAAACAGCCTAAGTTTAAAAAATTTTGGTGAAGTCCAGTGTATTAGTTATTCCATTTATGGATCATGATTTTGGTGTTAAGTCTAAGACTCCTTTGCCTAGCCTTACATCCTGAAGATTTTCTCCTGAAAGGTTTACATTTTTAATCTAAGTCTGTGATCCATTTTGAGTTATTTTTTGTATAGTGAGACTTGGGTCGAGGTTCATTTGGTGACCTATGAATGTCCAGCTATTCCTGCAGCGTTTGCCAAAAGGGCTGTCCCTCCACTGAATTGCTTTTGCATGTTTGTCAGAAATCAGTTGGGCATATATATGGGGTTTCTTTCTGGGCTCTCATATATCACCTGCTAGTTATGAATCTTTATTATCTACTGTAACTCTGCTGCCCCCCAAAACCAAAAGTGCAGCATATTGTGTGTGCTTAACAAAGAGTTTTGAAATTTCCGGAAAGTTTGTTTACCATGAGATGCCAGGAGTGGAAGTGCTTGGCAGAAGCGGGGGCAATTTTGAAGGTCTCCAGGGAGTATGAGAAGTGAGATTTAAGGTGTTTTCAGTAACTGAGGCTCCTTCTGTTTGGGAGGAGAGGACAAAAGCCTAACTATTGAATGTTCAGTACCTGGTGGTTTGTCCAGTGAGTGAAAGAAGATAAAACAGAAACAATGAAACAGGGAGCTAGCTATCCTCCACCTCTGCTCTGGAGCCTGGAGCTCAGAGAAGTGGGGAGCAATCCGGGAGGGCTTCCTAAATGTGTGGATACAGCAGAAAGAGGACTTAGATTGTGCAGCGAGAGAGCAGGGTCTAGGTGGGTGGGGGAACTGTGGGATGGGAGTGGGGGTGACTAGGGAGCACCAGAGGGAGGAGTGGGGCTTTGGTGGGTGGAGGCAGCAGTGCCCTGGTTTGCAGGGTTGGGAAACTGACTCATCTTGTCTTGGGTTGACTGTTTCAGGGGGAAAGCGAGATGAGAAGTTGATCCTGCCCATCAACTCCTCTCTGAGTGTCACTTTGCACCAGGATCAGGTTAGTGTGGACTGAAAATAAACACCAAAGTAAAAGTTTACTAAACTTTAATTTAACAATTGGTAGCAATAAATCCCCAGTTCATGAGGTGTCTGTTCCATGCCCCAGTGTTAGGAACACTCAGTGCACATGCCCCCCAAGGTCTCCTCTGAGGTTCTGTCCCTTCACTCTTGTACCCGGCCCAGTGGCTCTGCTGTGGGAGATGGAAGCGTTGGCCTCACCCTGTATGGGGACACCAGGCCTGGGGCCGAGCCTGCCCACTGCCTGGCTCCTCCTGCCTCGGCCTCAACCTCCTTTTCCCAGCAAGTCTGTCCCTGTCCCAGAGGGGGCGACGGTGATGGGCCATGGCAGGAAAGGCCTCCCCAGTGGAGAGGGGTGCACTGCCCCTGAGGGAGTCCTGCATTTTCTTCCCCAGTTGAAAACTACTACAACAGCTGTCATTAGCAAGGACTTCACTGAGGACCGGATTTGGCTCAACGGCCAGGAGGAAGACATAGGGCAGCCACGCATCCAGGCCTGCCTGAGCCAGAGTGAGTGGGAGTCCTGTGCGGGATGTGGGGGCCAGCCCCAGCCTGTTCCTTCTCCTTCGTCGCTTTGGGTGGAATCTGAGAGCACAACAGCTGCGGCACTCTCTTCCCTCCCCACCTGACTTTGAGAGCCTCCCGGGGGCGGGGCATGGGGACACCTGTTAGCACAGCCAGATGTGGGTCTGGGGCTTTACCCAAGAAGGAGACCTGAAGAAATTTGGGGAAGAGGCCCAGTGTCAGCTGTGCTTCTGACCCACGGCAGGTGAGATGTCAGGAGCAGGTAGAGCAGCTCTGCCCAGTGGCTGTCTCCCCCTCCACAGTCCGCCGCCTGGCCCGAAAGCGGAGGAGTGGTGAGGAGGACCTGCCGCCTCTCAGCCTCAGCTACAAGGTTCACATCGCATCGGTGAACAACTTCCCCACAGCTGCAGGCCTGGCCTCCTCGGCCGCAGGCTATGCGTGCCTAGGTGAGTGGCTGCAGGGAGGCTCATGCTCTTGCAGCCTTCACACAGCCTTTGTCACATGAGGCTGAGACCTTGGTCATCTCACACACCTGAATGTTAAAATCCCCCTAGGTTGTACGTGATAGAGGCCCACCTCAAACTGGCTGAAGCCTAAAGTAGGGAGGGACAGTTTCTTGGCTCGTGTAACGGCATTCCAAGGGGTACAGCTGGCTTCAGGTGTAGCTTGTTTCCAGACTCTCCCACAGCCTCACTGGGCATCCATTTCTCTCCCTTGAAGTGCTGGCTTGCTCTCCTCTGCATTGGCTCACTCTCCGATAGGGCCTCCTCACTGCAAAGCCAGCCACCAGAGTGGTGGGCAGCAGGCTCACACTGTCCTCATAGCCATAGTGGCCCAGTAGAAACTCCAGGGACGAGCTTACTGGCTTGGCTTGGCTTATGTACCCATGCCTGACCCGCCGTTGGGGATGGAGGGGCACGGTGAGCCAGGCCAGGAGGTGTGCCGGTGTCGGGCACACAGCTCTTGCCCCCATGGACCCCAGCTGTGCATCCTGGCAGCAGACCAGGCCCAGCCCAGCTCCTTCATGACCATTGTGCTGGCTACCCTGAGCCTACACATCCTTCAGGCCTCTGTGCCTTGGTTTATTCCCCCAAACAACAGCCCTAAAAGCCCAATTTTGTGTCGCTTCTTGGAGAAATTCTGGCCCCTCAGCACTTGGTCTTTTGGGTCCCCGAGAGTGGTTCCCTCCACCGCAGTACCACAGGTTCCAGCGCAGTGTGCGCCTTGGAGAATGCGGAGGGTGTGAGCACGTGGGTGGGTGCATGGCTGACGAGGTGAGTGCTAACTGTGAGGGTCCGTGGCTGAAGCTCTGTCATTTCAGAATTTTTAATTTCCTGTGGGGCACATTCTCGTAGGGTGCTGAGCATAGCCTGGGCCGGGCCGCTTGCCCCCTGCATGTCTTAGTTCCCCTCCCTTGTTCACCCTCCCTCCTGTGCCTGCAGCCTACGCCCTGGCCCGAGTCTATGGGGTCGAGGGGGACCTTTCAGAAGTAGCTCGCCGGGGCTCGGGCAGCGCCTGTCGGAGCCTGTATGGAGGCTTCGTGGAGTGGCAGATGGGGGAGCGGGCTGACGGGAAGGACAGCGTCGCCCGGCAGGTGGCCCCTGAATCACACTGGCCTGAACTCCGAGTCCTCATTCTTGTGGTGAGTGAGACGGCAGTGGAGTGAGGGGTCCCCTTGGGCCAAGCTGAGAGCAGGAAGGGATAAGGCTTCACCTGCCTCTCGAGCTTGTTGGGGGTGACGAAATGGCTCCCTGTGGAGCGTACAGGACCGACTCCCATGCAGTAAGGTGGCTGCAGATCTATATGCTGCTGTCCCCAGAATTGTGTCATCTCTGCCACAGACAGGAGGCCTCCATGGTCAGGAGCTCCCACCCTGTGGTCTGTACCAGCTAAGGGGAGCGACAGGCCGGGGGAGGGGTGTTCAGGGCTGGGGCCTGGGTGTGAGATCCAGGCCACCTCTCTCTCGGTGCAGGTGAGCGCTGAGAAGAAGCTGACTGGCAGCACAGCGGGCATGCAGACCAGCGTGGAGACCAGCCCCCTGCTCAGGGTAAGGCCGGCTCTGGGGTGGGTGCCGGCTCCCCAGGGCACAACCTGCCTGTCAGGACATAAACCAGGCTCCCCCCACGTTCTCCAAAGCCGAGCTCATCTGCTCTGCCGGATGTGCGAAGGCCTGCGGAGGCTCTGCCCTCTGTGCTGTGAGTGGCGGCCCCCTCATTGGGAAGCACCTCTGCCTTGCAGTTCCGGGCTGAGGCGGTGGTGCCAGCGCGCATGGCAGAGATGATCCGCTGTGTCAAAGAAAGAAACTTCCAGGGCTTTGGCCAGCTGACCATGAAGGACAGCAACCAGTTCCATGCCACCTGCCTGGACACCTTTCCGCCCATCTCTTATCTCAACGACACTTCCAGGCGTATCATCCACCTGGTGCACCGCTTCAATGCCCACCATGGGCAGACCAAGGCAAGGTGGGGCCGGGGCAGCGCTGGAAACCCAGAGTGGGCCTCAGGCCACGAGTGTCAGTAAAAGCTCCACAGAACCTGCTTTATGCTCTTGCTTGCAGAGCACCAACAGTCCCCGCCTCACTCTTTCATTTTGGCTCCACGACTGTGGGATCGTAGAATGCACTTCAAAGCACTGTTGTAGGGACCCGTCTCCCCCTGACCTGGTCCTGAGTTGTCGGGCAGAGGTGCCACTGGTCCACTTCGGGTTGGCCCCGTGGGCACCATGGCAGGTCCTGGGTCTCGGGCAGGCCTGGAGGTCTGAGCCGGGCAGAGCCACTGTGCAGAAGTTGACGTTGACCGCATGGGTTCCAGGTGGCATACACGTTTGATGCAGGCCCCAACGCTGTGATTTTTACCCTGGACGACACTGTGGCTGAGTTTGTGGCTGCCGTGAAGCACTGCTTCCCCCCTGAGTCAAACAAAGACAAGTGAGTTGGGGTCCCTGCCTTTGGGAAGCCATGGAGCGGGGAGCAGGGTCTCCTGCTGGGATCAGGGACGGCTGCACCTAAGGCTGAGGTGCAGAGGGGGAGTCTCGCAGGAAGTCCTGATCCCCGAGGGGCCCCCAGGCTGTGTGTCGCCAATGCGCCTTGCAGTGAACTCTTCCCCATTGCCTGTCCCAGCTCCATGTTCACAGAGACACAAACACACACCTACGGCTTCGTGGCTCCTGTGTGGACAGTGACTACAGCCACACTATGGGGCCAGGACATTTGGATTTCTTCCTACTAGTTGATCTAATGGTCCCTTTTCAGTGCAGGGACACCCTCTTGCTTGGGGTGCTGTAAGTGTAGGGGGTTGTTTTACCTGTTTCTGCAGTTGGGGCAGTACTGATGGCTAGTGGGTGGGAGGCCGGAATACTAACTTCCTTACCTAGCGGGACAGCCATGATTGCCTTGGAGGCCAGCGGTGTCCTCGTCAGAAGCTCTGTACTCACTGCCCTTGCCACCACAGTGGGTGGTGTGCAGGGGAACACGGTGGCGGACTCACGCTTGAACTGAGGCCTTTTCTTCTCAGGTTGTTGAGATGAACCCCAGTCTCAGGGAGGTTTCCTACCCTCCCTTCACAGTGACCCCAGCTTGGCCCTTGGTCACTCCTGCTGTTTTTGTGTGGATGGTAAAAATCACTTTGAAGTGCACAATTCAGCAGCATTAAGTACACTTATTGCTGTGCAACCAGCACTTCTATCAGGTTCCAGCATGTTTCGTCACCCCAAAGGAAGCCCTGAGCCCTTTGGCGGTCACCGCCCTTCCACTCTGGTCTGCGTGCCTGCGCGCCTGCTGTCGGTGGACACTCAGCACACGCCTGCTGTCCTTTCCCCAGGTTTCTGAAGGGGCTTCCTGTGAGGCCGGCCCCGCTGTCGGACGAGCTTAGAGCTGCACTGGGCATGGACCCCACCCCTGGCGGCGTCAAGTACATCATTGCCTCTCAGGTGAGTCCTGGCAGCGGCCCTCAGCCCAGGGTCCGGGGGCCACCATGGCCCAACAAAACTGGGCAAGTCCCCTTCCGGTACACACGTCTTGCAGGCTTAGACCCGGTGTGTCCATCGGGTGAAGGGGTTCCCTGCACCCCCACTTTATCTGGGATGGGAAGCCAGGCTGTGAAGAATGGCAGCAAAAGTAGGAGGAGCACTGTACTTCCGTTTTCAAGGCATCTGCTCCACTGGTTTGTTTTACTCACTTGGTCACAGTGTGGACATTTCAGGACTGTGACTCATGGGGCTACATTCCCAGGGCTGAGGGGAGAGGGCGGGGCTGGGAATGGAGACCCAGGGATCCTGGGGACCCTCAGGCCTCACCGATCAGAAGCAGGTCAGGATCCTTGGTCAGGGAGGCTGAGCCGGGATTTCACTCAGACCCTCCAATCCCAAGTCCCCATGACATCCTGCGCCCAGGCCCCGGTCTCTGTCTCTCACACAAGTCTGGGCTTGGAGGCCAAGACCACATGGCTCAGCCTAAGGGGTTGGGCACAGGGCCAGGGCATCACACACAGTGGTCAGCTCCCCTGGGAGGGCGGGGGTACACCTGTCCCTCCCTGTCACCCCCACAACCTAACATTGATTTCTCTGCCTACCAGGTGGGTCCTGGGCCGCAAATGCTGGACCAGCCACATGCTCACCTCCTGGGCCCCGACGGCCTGCCAAAGCCGGAAGCTTGACTGCCTCCCTGACAGGAGCTCTGCCTGCCACTTGGAGAAGGGCCTGCTTTGCTGGGACTGGGGAGCTGAGTATGGTAGCAGCTGTGCCCTGCTTATTGGGACAAGTGGGTAGCCGCCTGGTCCCAGGCCAGGAAATGTGCTGTGGCTGAGTGGGGCAGTGTGGTGACCATCTGGAGGCTCCCAGGTGCCCAGGAGCAGGCCCCCCACCAAGGGCCTCAGCTCCCGCACCTGCCCTGTGCTGAGATGAGGGCTGGAACGACCTGAGGGACGTGGTGGATCCATCGGATAGGGGTGAGCTGCTGGTGTGTCCCCTATAGAGGATCTCTGACCCTGAGCTCTGGGGCCACTCCCACTGCTCAAAGCAGGAGCTCCTTCCCCCTGAGATGGGGCATCGGCGTCCCTCTCTGGAGCTGGAGAACCGATCACTGTCCAGGGAGCAACCTCCGCAGCCTCAGGATCCCTCAGAACGTGCCTCAAGCATGACGGTCATCCGAGCTCCTCTGCCAGAGCTCAGGCCACTGGGTATGGGTGGCATGTTTCCTCATGAGCAGACCAGCAGTGCGTCTCCAGAGGGAGGTGGGAGAGCAGCCCAAGACGCGTTGTCCCACAGGAGCCCCATCAGCTGGCCACTGGGAATAAAGCCAGGGTTGCTGATCGGGCCTGGCGTGCTTCTGTGTAGCCAGTGTTCTGTGTGGGCAGCAGGCGGCACTCGTCGGGGGTGGGGAGACCATCGGCCGTGTGCCTCCTCTCCTGTGGGACGGGAGAGCTTGGAACTTGCCCATTCGCTGAATTGCTCCTGAAGAAGCTGCCTTCTGACCCGAAGCTCCCCTTCAGTTGCCTGTCCCCACGGTGGGGTGCTCAGCACACAGCCACTCCCATGGCCATGGGCCACACTAGGTGGCTGAGAGGGTCACCAGGGATCAGACGGGTGGGGGGCATGGTTTCAGCCAGGCTTTACGCTTCCGGTCCACAGAAGTGGGAAGCATGTGCACAGGCAGGAGCACTGATTTGGGACGGTTCCCCTCAGCCCAGAAGCTGTAGGGTCTTTGGAACCCTTACATGAGTTTTCCATCAGTGTGCAGGTCATGCACACTTCCTCACTTTGCCAGCTTCAGTGCAGCCAGCTTGAAGGAAGAGGGGTGGATACCTGTACCCTTTGACCTGCCTCCTGGTGCCATTCTCCCTGGGGAGGGTCAGATGCTGCTGCTGGCCCTTAAGGGGGTGGGCAGAAGAGAGAGACGACAAAGGGACAGGAGCCAGCACTCCTACACTCTGGGTTTTCTCAGCTCTGCACACCTTGGTCCCCTCCCCTAAATGAGCCCTGTGAGCAGAGGGCTGCCCACCACACCTGGCCAGCCCAGGGCCAGGTGAAGTGGGGGTTGGGCCAGCCACTGTCTTAGGAGCAGGCATTGGCTTCCATGGGCGAGCATCCAGGCTCTGGGGCTCCTGGTCTTGGGCCTGTCTCCCTGGAGGGAAACCCCCGAGTGGGCAGGGTGAAGGCTCTGGACCTTAAAACCCCTCCAGGACCTGTCCTGCTCACACCTTCCAAAGAGGCCCGTTAGCATCTGCGGGAGCTCAGCATACTGGGCGCGGGGGGGGGGGGACTCTGCCTGTATGGGTGTCCATCTCACTGGGTTCCCTCTCCTGCGTGCCCACCTGAGACGTTTAGGACGCTCCAGGTTAACCCTGGGCTGAGCTATACGCCTGGCATCAAGCAGGCATCCGAGTGGGTGGGGCCCGCAGTGTGCTCGAGGGTGCTAGAGGAAATAAGGCGAGGGACCCTCAGACGCGCAAGCCAGAGGTCTGGGGGGCCGGTAGGCCCCCTGAGCACCCCACCATCTTGGCTCCCGGTTCCCGCCAGTCTTCAGTCCAGGGGGCGGGGCCGGAACTCTGGAGGCAACGCTACGCGGTGGGGCGGGGCGGGGTAGCCCCAGGGAAGCAAGGGGGTGGGTGGGGGGTGGTGCCGGAACTCGGGGCTAGGAGGCGGCAGTCGCAGGGTTCAGCGTCCCAGCCCGAGCTGTGTCGGCCACCAACATGGGGCAGATCGAGTGGGCTATGTGGGCCAACGAGCAGGCGCTGGCGTCCGGCCTGAGTGAGTGCGCTCGGCACGGGGCCGGGGCGGAAAGCGGGGGCAGCAGGGGGGTGGGTACTGAGACCCGTGGCTGCGAGGGAGGAACGGGGTGGGCTGGAGATGGGGATGTGGGGAATCACCGACCCAAGGCTGTGGGCTTGAGCAGTTGGGGCCCCGGGCCCCCAGGCAGCGGCCGAGGGACGGGGTGGGCTGGAAACAGGGCGGGGATCTAGGGTCCTGAGAGGTCAAAGACTCCAGGCTGCGGGCTGGTAGGTGGGAGCTCAAGCCTGGAGGTGGGGTCCCCGAGACTCCTTCGAAGGCCTCTAGCTGTGGGGCAGGGAGGTGGGCCTGGGCGGGCTGGGGTTGTTGGGGCGGCCGGCGGTGGGAGACTTCGGGCTGCGGAGGTTGTCCGGAGACACTCCGCCCCTGTCCCTGCAGACCCGTCTGCCCCGTCCCCTCCCCCCTCTGCTGCCCTCTCTTCACCCCTCCACCCCGCCCAAACCTCCTGCCCACAGAGGAAGTTGCAGCCCCGGGGGGGAAGAGGATGCCGTCCAGGGTGGTTTCCAGAGAGTCACTGCCCTCCAGGATTGGGAAAACTGGCCAGATCACCTGATCCCGCAGCCCCTCCCTCCCTGGAGTGGCCTTCTGCCCAGGGGTCGCCAGGGCCTCCCTCCCCGGCCCTGGGTTTTCACCGGACATCTAATAGCGCTCAGAGAGACCCCTCCCAGCTCCACCTGCAGAGACTGCTTCTGGGGAAGGATGATGGGCCACCCTGAGCCTGTGCTCAGGAGCCCTGGGGAAGGCATAGTGGGATCCACACCCCTGTGCTGTACCGGGAAGGGGAACTGCTCAGGAGTGGAGGGTGAGGCTGCGCCTAGGCAGGGCTGAGGCAAGAGGAAGCGGCCCAGAGGCTCTGCCCGCCTCTGGGCACCTGCCACTCCCAGGAAGGACCTACACCTGGTGGGAGAAGGTGGGTGGGAAGACTGTGGGGAAAGTGGTGATGAGGAGGGCCCCAGCGACCACCATTCCCCTGAGACCCAGCCTGAGGCACCCTGCCACTGGGGACTGGGGTAGTCTGGTGAAGCTCTGGGAGGGAAGGGAGTAGATAGGCAGTCCCTCTGGCCCCAAACTGTAAGATCATACTTTGAGGTGGGCAGCCTGAGGCATGAGACCCAGTGATCTGTGTCAAGGCAGGTCGCCCCCCTTTTGGCACCTAGAGTAACTGAGAACTTGGTGAGTCAGATCCTTCTCACTTCTCCCCAGAGCTCTCCGCAGGCTGTCCCCCTGCCTGGCACCAGCTGTGAGGCCTTACACTGCTGCTGACCAGCCTCCCTGTCTCCCACAACTCCCCAACCCCTGTCCCACCCCCAGGGAGTAGAAGGTGACCGAGGGCACCAAACTGGGAGCTCTCTGAGAGGCCTGGGTTGTAGTCCCAGTGGGTGCAGACAGTGACCCTCCCAGTGTCCCCATTCATGGCATGCCCACCCTGTGCAGGTTGGCCCTTCCTTGCCTTGAACGTCCGCAGTGTTGTGAGGCCGGAGCTGTTCTTATATCCGTTTTGCAGACAGTGAAGTCGAATGCTAGAGAACTTACACACTCTGGCCCCGTTCCCTCCACCATCAAATGAGGCAGCTTGTTGGGAGGTCTCCCAGGGCCCTTCACACTCTGCGTTCCCCTCTCGCTGGCTGTCTCTCCTGACGCAGAGTAAACCTCAGCACCTGGGGCTGCTCAGGGCTGGCCTGGCCCTACGGGCAGGTGCATCCCACAGGCTTCTTTTTTATTGTAGAAAATCCCATCTAATCAGAGCATGTCACCTTCTGTCAAAAACACTGCTGTGGATCCCATTGAGAAGAATAAAAGGCAGACTCAGACTGCTGTGCCCCTGCCCCCCTCCCTCCCCTGTCACTCCAGCTGCGCAGGCCTCCTTTCTGTCCCTGGGTCTCCCCAGGGCCTTTGCAGAACCACTTTGTCTGTCTGAAGCATCCGTGGCTGGCTCCTCCATTCATCTCTGAGACGTCTTTCCAGAGGACCTAGACATCTCTGTCACAGTCCCCTGTTCTAGTTCACCACCCTGTTGTTTATTTCTGTCCCCTCCTGGACCATAAGCCCCATGAGAGCAGGGGCCTTACCTGTCTCCTTCTCTGCCTCTGTCAGAGACCCTGTCTGTACATAGTAGAGCTGTCAGCCCTCACGCCCCACTGGCCAGCCAGTGGCGTCTGCGCAGGATGAGAAAGCTGTGCCCCCAAAGATGAGCAGACACATGCTGACTGAACACAGAGGGAGAAAACCCTTCCCTCTTCCACCTCGCGGGAGAGCTAATGAGCAAACTGAAGAGTAATTACATAGCTGAATTCAACTCCAAGAATAGGAGATCTGCTAGCAACGAAAGCACAGTGAGGTTTCAAAAGGGTGGGACTGGGGCGGAAGGAAGGGGTGCCTGGGGAATTGGGACCAACAGTGGGATTTCAGGGCCTCTGAGAAAAAGGGCTGACATGGAGCTGCAGGTCACAGGCCAGAGCCAGGAAAGGCTGCCTGTACAAGAAAGAGACTAGAAAACTGTTCCATCCAAGGAAGCTTGTCATTTGCTGCCAGGGCCTAGATGGAGAAAGTCACAAACAAGACAGAACCCCCAGAAACTCAGGCCTGTGCTATGCATGGGGTAAAGGCTAAATCCTACCCTGTGCTACAAGGACCACTAACCAAGAAATTCCGATAAACCGGATCCAGGACTGGAGAAACCCAGAGGCCCCAAGCAGAGGCAAATGCGAAACTTCTATAAGGGTAGTTCCTCAACCAGGGCTCACAGACTGCCACAGGAAGACACACAGGCCCTGCTGGGCGCAGCTCACAAACATGCCTGCCATTTGAGGAAGCAGACACCAAACAGGAGAACGTGCCTCCTTAGCACCAGAACTACTAGTGCCATTAGGAAGAGACTTGAGAATATGGGTACAAACATGTGGGGATGTTTAAACCTGTTCCATATAAAATTATACAGGGCAATGCAAAAAATGACTAATACAGGACGTCTGGAAATAAAAAAATATAAAGTCGTGGAAGGTTAATGGATGAAGTAAGCAGTATATAGAGATGAAGAGAGTATCAGTGACATGGAAGATGGATTTTAGGAAACCACAGAATGTAGCTGAGAGAAGCTGAGTCATGCGCAGGACTACAAGAAGACCCCACATCTATATAATGACATTTCCAGAGGAAAGAGTCAGTAGACTGGAAAGAGGCGACATAAAGGGAAATTCCAGAACTGAAGGAGGAAACAAAGTTCCTTACAGAATAAAGGAATTTATTTAAACCCCTTCTGGGGCACATTGTAATGAAAATTCAGGCCATTAAAGAAAATCTTAAAATTTACCAGAGAATAAAGTGGATTAGTATCAGACTGATTTCAGACTTATCATCAGTAGTAGATGCCAGCGGACAATGGAATAATATCTTTGGTGTTGAGAAAAAAACATGAATTTAGTATCCAGATACACTGTTACTCCAGAATTAGGGCATTTCCAGATATCGAGAGTTGCTGCTAATAGACCTTCACAGAAAGGATATACTTCAGCAAGAGAGAAACTGAATCCAGAAGAAAGGAAGGGGGTGCAACAATGAAGACATTGGTAACTAAGTACTGACTGTAAATAATTAATAATAATGGGTAATTTGAGGGTGAGATTGAAGTTAAACATTTTGAAGTCCACATGTGGTTCAGGAAAAGGAATTTTAAAATTAAAGTTTAATCAAGTCAGCAGGAGGAACAACAAAAACTTGTTAAAGAGAAAACACAAAAGATAAAATAAATTCCAATTATCTGCAATCACAACCAATACAATCTGTTAAATTCACTATCGGTTAAAATATTAACAATTCAATTATATCAGTTTATTTGTAATAGCCAAATACTGGAAGCAACCACGTTTCCCAAAGACGGAAGGATGGATAAATTGTAGTTGACTCACACAATAGAAAATCTCATAAAAAGAGCCCCGACTGGTGTGGCTCAGTGGATTGAGTGCTAGCCTGCAAACCAAAGGGTCACTGGTTCAGTTCCCAGTCAGGGCACATGCCTGGGTTGTGGGCCAGGTCCCCAGTAGGGGGCGTCTAACAGGCAACCATGCATTGGTGTTTCCCTCTTTCACCCTCCTTGCCCCTCTCTCTAAAAATAAAATCTAAAAAAAAAATTTTTTTTTTTTCACAAAAAGAATGAGCCAGTGATGCATCCAAACCACGTGATTGACCTAAACAGCCTTCAGTTGAGCATTGAAGCCAAGTCTAGGGTTCCAGAGTTGACTGGATGGGGGCACAAGAGAACTTTCTGGGAAGATGGGAATCTTGACTTGGGTGGAGGTCATGTGAGGGTTCACGTGTGAAAAGTCATCAAGCTTATGCCTTTATTTTATTGTATGTAATAATTATACCTCAATAAATTACTAGAAATCCTGGGGATGGATACACAACAATGTGAATGTACTTAATCCACTGAACTGTTTGTTCACTTTAAGATGGCTAAAATGGAAAATTTTATGTATATTTTACCACAATAAAAAAAATGAAGAGAGAAGATCCAGCAGGACCACACAGCTGAAAATAAAAGAATGGAATAGCTGAAAAATACAAACCAAAGGAGGGTGAAGAAATGTCAATATCAGACAAACTGAAATAAGGTGAAATAGGAATAGGGACAAACAGGAACCATGCAATGAGGCGAGGCGATCCATGGAGTCGATACAAAATCCAGTCAACAATGTGATCTTTAAATGCAAACCTCAGAATATCGGGGGTCACAGAGCTCAAGAGTGAGTGTCTGGCCTGGAGTCCAGGCTCCTCTTGCCCAGGGTTGTGAGGCTGTCTGTCCCCCACCACAGCTCCAGGGACACAGGCCTGGCTCCAGCCGCTGCAGCCCCTTCCCCAGCTCGCAGGCCACTTCCTCAGGGAAGGCATCCTCCATTATCTGCAGGTGTCTGCAGCCACCTGGGTCCCTCTCCTGGGCAAAAGGGTGGATGGAAACTAGGGCAGCAGTCTGTGGTGGGCTGGTGGCCCAGCTGTGGGGGGTGGGGCACAAGGGGAGGTGGTCAGAGCCTCCTGTGGACCCCAGCCCAGCAGGGATGGGGGTGGGGCAAGTCTCTCCCATGGGTCAGGGGCTCCTACTAACCCACTTTTCTTCTGCCCACAGTCCTCATCACGGGCGGCATCGTGGCCACTGCTGGCCAGTTCACCCAGTGGTACTTCGGCGCCTACTCCATGTATCCTTCCACCATAGACCCCATGGGGTGGGCGGCACTAGTGGGCTGGGAATAGAGATGCCCCTGCCTCTGGGGCATGCACTTCACAGTTTGCACAGGGCTGCTCATGTCCCTGGGCCCTTTAGACTCTCAGCAGGATAGGCGCAGCGGTGAAGTGAAACTTGTCTGGTGTCTGGCAGGGAATGGGAGGCGTCACAGCCCCAGAGATCCTACCTGTACCCTCTTATCAGTCCCCCTATTGCCCGGTTGTTTTAGGCCCCCTGGAATGCAAGCCAGGCAAGGGAGAGCGAGGGTGCAGGACAGGCAGCGAAGTGGCCAGACCTGTGGGGTCCCACCTGGCTCCCCCTTCACTATGCGGCTCCAGGCGGCGGCTGCGCCACTGTTTCTCAGCAGAGGGGCCGGCTGTGGCCCCTGAGCCTGGGCTGTTCTGTTCCTTAACCACAGCTTCAGTGCAGCAGGAGTGTTTGTTTGCCTGCTGGGGTACCCCCGGGGGAAGAGGAGGAAGGGCTCCACCATGGAGAGATGGTCAGTCCTCCGCCTGCTCTCGGGGTGGAACCCACGGGCTGGGTGGAACCCACAAGGGCGGGACGCTCAGCCAGGAGCCCTGCAGGAGCCTTGTCCTGTCCTTCCAAAGCTCCAGGTCTCCAAAAAGAAAGAAGCTGGGGTGCTGCGGGGCTGGGTGGGCAGTGGGGTTGCTGAGTAGGACCCAGTCTGTCTTCCCTCCCTCCTCACTTGGTCTAGTGGACAGAACTACATGACGCAAGTGCTGACCTTATTCAGGCCCCTCTCCAGGAATTACTACTTCCGGGCCTTCCTGTACCTGGGGTGAGTCCCACCTGCTCTCGGGCTCAGGACAGCCCTGAGTACATCCTCCCCAAGGGCTTGGCTGCCTGGACAGCAGCGCTTGGGGCAAGTTAGGTCCCTCTCAGCCCAGCTGCTTTTCCAAACAAAGCCCAGGTCCCAGGCTTTGCTAGAGGACCCCCAAACCTGTATCTGTCATCTCTTCCTGTGTAACAATTCACCCCAAACCTTAGTGATTTAAATTAGGAACAGTCAGCATCCTGGGGTTGACAGGACCCAGCTGGGCGGTCTGCATCTCATGCACGTGTCTGGTGGTGACGCGGAGAGGCCAGAACACCCTCCTGCCTCTGCAGTTGCATGGGTCTCCCCCCAGCATGGGGGTGGGACCCAGAGCAAGGGTCCCAAGGTTGTTAGGGTACAAGTCAAGGCAGAAGACATCACCAGGGACCGAAATGTAAAAGCCCAGCCTTAGCAGGGCCACGTATCCCCTCTGTCCAGGGCCCTAGGGACAGCACACTTGTGGTCTGCGTTGTCCTGAGATCCTGTGGCCTCTGCCCTAGACCTGGAGCCCCTGCAGACCCCCTCTGACTGCTCCTCTGAGCCCCCCACCCTCCCGCCCCCTCCCCAGGCTATCGGTACCAGCCGGCTTCCTGCTTGCCACCATCCTGGGGACAGCCTGCTTGGCCATAGCAAGTGGCATCTACCTGCTGGTGAGTGGTGTCGTCTGTGGTCGGCCCTGCCGATGCCCGACACCTTGGTCCCTGCAGCCGCCTGCAGGCTGAGCCAAGGCCAGGAGCCTGTGTCCTTGCTCATGTGAGGGGAACAGGGATGGCCCAGGGGACTAGAAATCTGCATTTTAGCCCTCGGGGAGGCTCCCCACTGGGGTGGGTCCTGGCTGAGCAGGCCCCTGCTCCCCCTCGGCCGTCCTCTGGGCCTCTCCCGCCCTGTGGGCTGCTGGCCTCTTGACTCAGCATGGCGGCCACACTGGCCGGACCTCCCTGTCCTGCCCCTGGGGGGAGTCTGGGAATGTGCACCTGGAAGTGGTTTCCAGGGCATCTTCGGAAACCCTGGGACTGCATGCTCCTCCGGCTTGCAGGGCCCTCCTGACATGGTGAAACAATTCCAGTTTGGGGTCAGGCAGAGCCCCAGGCCAGCCTCTCAACCTCTGGCCCACAGGCCCTTCAGGTCTCATTAGATTCAGCCTGGGTCCTGCCCTGTCCCCGGGTAGGGGTGTGGGAGTTCAGGGGTGGGGCCAGGTTGGGGCTGGACCCTGGAGGCCCCCAGAGCCCAGCCCCCTCTGTGTCCGGCAGGCGGCCACCCGTGGTGAGCAGTGGACTCCCATCGAGCCCAAGCCCAAGGAGCGGCCGCAGGTGGGGGGTACCATCAAGCAGCCACCTAGCAACCCCCCACCCCGGCCCCCAGCAGAGGCCCGCAAGAAGCCCGGTGAACAGAAAGAGGAGGCGGCCACAGTGGGGGTCTCCAGCGGCCCCCAGGAAAACCCTGTCCCAGTGACCGATGAGGTTGTGTGACCCGTGCCTCAAACTGCTCCCCGAGCCGCTGCTGTCTTGGGTAGCTCTTTGAGGGGACACCACCCAGACCCGGAAGTACCCCCTTGCCTGCCTGGCAGAACCACAGGCCCTCTTTGGGGGTCATTCCCAGAAGCCTGTCATCTTTCTCCATGACACCCAAAATCATGGAGCATCTCCTATTCCATAAAATACAGTAACTGGAATTCCAAGTATTTGAGTTCCTACTTTAGAAGCAAAGTTCCCAGGCCTGGGAGGAGGGAGTATGAATCCCCGCACCAGCTCTCCTGGACCTGCCAGACTCAACTCCTGGAGCCCCCTCGTCCCACTCAAGCAGCCCTGAGTGCAGAGGGAAAGCAGGCGAGCAGGGGCGGGCCCCAGAGAGCCCAGCAGGCCTTCACCTTGGTGTCACCCTGCATGGCCCGTCCACCTGCGGGGCTGGAAGCCCTGCGGCCCCCAGGCTGTTCCTGGCTTCGGCTCACATCCTGGCCTGGGAAGCCTCCTTGGTGGGCTCTCCCCAAGCACCTGCTCCCCCAAAGTCTGGAAAAGTCCTTAAATCCCTTGCCTCCTGTTTGCCCCTCCAGCTGTCAGCAAATCCTGCTCTCAGAACTGGGGTCCTCTAATGTTCCAGGGCCAGCTGAGCACCAGGCCAGCCCTGCCCCAGGAAATGGCCACTCCAACCTCCCAGAAGGACAATAAAACTTTAGGCCCCTGACTCCCCTTAACGTACCACCACCTCTTGGGTGGTACAGGGCTCTTACAAATCTGCCACTTGTCACCTCCCTGCTCAGCCCTGCCCCCTACAGGCCATTTCCAGCACTGCAGTTTACTTGCCGGGCACCCACTCAGACCCCACAGACCCCCACAGTCCAGGACAGATGCCCTGTACGCCCTGGCCCCACAGTTACTCCCTGCCCCTTCAGACACAGACACGCTGCCTTCTCAGGGCCTTTGCATGGGCTATTCCCTCTGCCTGGAACACAGGTTCCTGGCTGGCCATCCAGGCCTTTGCTCAGGTGGCCTCCCTGGCCCTGGGACCCTCTGTTTGGAATTGCAGACCCCCCTCCCCACGCTGCCCTGCCTTCCCTGCATCACTGTCCTTGGTTCCTTCCCCACCCCCGATGGAGCAGTTTACTGCTTGTTCTGTGGTTGCCAGTCACCCCCCATGTGGGCAGCACAGATCTGTTCATTTTGTCCCCTGCTCTCTTCCCAGCACCAGGCACACAGACACCCGGAAATATGTGCTGATCCCACGGTCCTTCCAGGCTCAAGACCAAGGTCACCCCTCCCCTCCTCCTGGCACTTGCACACAGTAGGCGTTAATCAGTGGGTGAAAACGACTGGTCAGGCAGGAAGGTGTGGACAATGGCCCTGCAAACCCCACAGATCAACGTCAACCCTTAGAGCTGGCTGGGCCTGTGCTTGGGGGGGTCGTCGCTGAGCCAGAACTGCTGAGGCTGCGCCCTCCTGGGCCCCTTAAAGAAATGCCTCCAAAAATAATAACATGGCCGAACATGCAGATTTAGGACGTTTTCCGTGAGAGCGCAGGCTAGGTTGTCAGTTGGCCAGGGGACACCTGGCTGGGAGACGCTGGCCAGCTTGGCTCCCCTTGGTCTGGCAGGTCGCCCGCAGCGGACGGAAGCCCAAGGGGATGAAGGGGCCATGGGACGGCCTTTGGAGCTCCTGGGCCTCTGCTGGGCCGGGGGAGCATGGCTCCGAGGGCGGGAGGTGATGGCACTCATCCCGGCTGCAAAGGCGCCCCCCACCGAGCTGACACCCCCTGAGGCAGAGAGGCAAGGGTGGAGGGAGTGCTCACTGTCACAGCACAGGTCTGGCCGCACCCTGGGCCTGTGGGTAGAGGAGGGCCTACCCACGTCACGGTCGGGCTGTGGGAGCGGCCCGTCCCGGGTCCCGGGCGCCCTCGCCGAGGCGTCCCCAGGTGAAAACTGCAGGGGTCGGCGGGGCCCACCTGTGCTCCGCTCTGTTCAAACTCATTCCCCACCCTGTATGTACTTGGGGTTCATACACAGACCTTTCTGGACACACCAGAATGCGGGGCCTGTGGCTGCCCCTGCAGAGCGTGCTGGGCGCGAGCGTCAGGCAGGGGTGAGGGTGAGGAGGGTGCCCTCACCCCTGTCTCTGTGACAGCGATGCCGTGCCCTTGGGGTGTTTATCAACTTAATGACACGTATGTACGTTTGCAATAAATAATTATTTTAGAAATACGGGGCGGGGGTAGGAAGAGGGAGCTTGGGGGAGCCCAGTGGGACCACCAAGGTGGCGGCCACCTGAACACCTTTTCTGCTTTTGTTTTAAGTTCTAGATAACAGTGAGGTTCCTTCTAGCCCACTGTTTGTGTGAAAGGGTAACTGAGTGTCAAGAGGGGGGCTGACCAGGGCAGCATCGCCTGCCCTTCCAGTGAGTGCCCAGCCTCCGCTGCTCTTCCTCAAACTAGAGGCCCGGAGCCCTGGTACCTGCCCAGGGGCCCTGTGTAGAGAGGAAGCGGGGTCACCCAAGGCATATAAATAACCAATAAATACACATAAATAGGAGGGGCCCTCTCCGCAGAGAGAGCCCCACTGTCCAGTCTGAGAGGCGACTACTGCCCACAGCCCAGCAGCGGGGACAGCTGAGGCCAGTGGTCACAGTACCACCTTGGGCAGGACGCAGGTGCAGCCGATGGGCACTTGTATGGACTCGACGTGAAATTCAAAGGCTCCAGGCGTGGGCACCCCTGTCGCATCCCGGGAGCAGGGCCGTCTGCGTAGCACCAGCAGGCTCTGGTGCAGCGGGACAGAGTTGAGCGCTGCTGTCTCGCGGCCGGTTCTGGTGCTGATGCAGCCCCTGCACAGGCACTCGGCGACGGCCAGCTTCTGTGGGTAGCGGTTCTCGTCCGTGTCCACACTGCAGGAGAAGAGCGGTGAGGCCCCGCTGAGAGCCTCAGCAGGCGTGCTCCTCCTTCCCTGTCTGCACCCGGGGCTGCCCCACGCCCCCAGGGCCAGAGTGAGCGCTGGGGCATCAGGCTGCAGGGAGCCCGGAGGGCAGGCGCGCAGTCAGTGCTCAGTAAGTGATGATTTCCCACAACTCCAGTGCCCTCTCAGGGCGCAGGAGCTGGCGTAGGGGGCGCCCTACCTCCCTCTGGGCCCAGCCCAAACCCTGCAGGGGCTCAAGTGAGGGCCCCAGAATTTTCCCAGAGGACCTTGGTACCCAAGGTCCTGGCTGAGATTTCAAGACAACAGTGGCAAGGAGGAGCTCACATGATGGATACCCCACCCCGGGGCAGAGGCCTGGCTGGCTGGAGATCAGGACACTTATCCCATTTAACTGCTGAAAACACTGAGGCTCAGAGGCTCTTCAGGAAGCCAGTGCCCAGAGAGGGGAGGGAGCAGCCCGATGCCACACGTGACATCCCAGTGCCCAGGGAGCCCCACAGCCCTCACCGGTATCTCCAGGGAGAGATGGAGCGCTGGTGGATGTCGGCTTCCAACACCTCCTCAGGCTGCAGCACCGGGCACTGGGTTCCAGCTGGGGGCCCCTTGTGCTGCTTCCTGCGGCCCACTGCCTCCAGGCTGGACACCAGAGCTACCGGCAAAGCCTGCTCCCACTTGGCAGCTCGAGCCAGCAGGTGGGCGGGGGCCTGGCCCAGGAGCAGCTCCTCGGCTGAATAGCAGCGTGGGGTCCCGTGGGTGTGGATGTGCGGGCTTCCCCAGAGTGGGGGGCCATGGAGAGCCAGGCTGGCCGACAGCCAGAGCAGAAGCAGAAGGCCAGGGAGGAGCTGGTGGAACAGGCAGTGGGTGGTCAGGGCGCGCCTAGAGAAGGGGGCACCTTGCTGCCACCCCAGCTTGCCCTGTTCCCTGTGGAAAGACGGGGCATAGCCCAATCTTACAGTTGGGGAAACTGGGGCCCAGAGGGGTTAACCCCTCAGCCCAAGACCCCCAGTGGACCCTCAGAGTTCCTGAGTCCTGGATCCCTCCTGCCCCCAAGATTTGGGGTGGACTTCCTGGGCCCCATCCCAACATCATTAGCCCAGAGCTCAGGGAAATGCCAGTCCTTCTGGGTCAGATGGCACCATCCAGGTGGGGGCGTGGGGGTGGCTCACCATTTCAGTGGCAGCAGCTGGGCTCAGAGCGGCTGGTGTGTGCCTGGCAGCAGTCCCAGGCATACTTGGCTGTGGTCCTGGGGTGCACCAGGTGGCAGACCTGGCCGTGGCTGGCTGTCAGTGCCCTTTATACCTCTGGCCACACCTGGGGAAAATCCAGCATCGCTTCCTCCTTGGGAAGTGCCCAGCTACCATGTCTTCCTCCTCTCCTTTCTGGTCCCCACAGACTGTCCCCTCCTCCCCAGCCCAGGGCAGATGAAGCCCACCCCTCACTCCAGACCCCCTCTCACTGCCATCCTAATTGTCACCCTATCCTGTTTTCTTCCCTCCCCCACCCAAAGGAACCCCACCCCAGGCTATCCACCTGTGGATGGAGTTGCAAACAGGTCCTGCCTATGTAACACTCTGGAACCTCCTGTAAAAGGGTTTTTGCTGAGTATTCTTTTTTTAAGTTGTTTTGTTTGTTTGTTTGTTTTTTAGAGAGAGTGGAAAGCAGGGAGAAAGAGAGGGAGAGAAACATCAATGTGTGGTTGCTTCTCATGTGCCCTCTACTGGGGACCTGGCCTACAACCCAGGCCTGTGGCCTGACTGGGAATCAAACCAGTGACCCTTTGGTTCGCAGAGCGGCACTCAGCCCACTGAGCCACGCCAGCCAGGGCTGCTCAGTGTTCTTTAGCTTGCTTCTCTCATTCCACCTGTATGTTTTTGCTCTCTGGACCTGGTTACCTGGTCCCTGGGGCAGGGCTCGTGCATCGCGTGCCGCAGCACAGTGCTCCTCCAGGTTGCTTTCTCCTGTCCCCAGTCAGTGGACATGAGGTTGGTTTCATTTTTTACCTAAGAGGATCGAATCAGGTGAACAGCAGTGTCTGCCTCAGACTGCAGGGGTGGGGGAAGTTCCAGGGGACACCTGGGGAGTTGGGGCTGGTGAGCATCTTCAGGTTTTGTCAGGGTGGGGCAAAAGTAGATTTAGAGTAGTGAGTATTTGAAACACAGTTCATTTTTGTTTTATTATTTATTAATTATTGTATTATTTGCCACACTAACAACTGTAAACCTACTTTTGCCCCACCTTGTATTTGGGTTTCTTGTGTGTTTTTTAAATAAAAATTCAAGCTAACATGTATGAGATGGAGGGGGTAAAAATGCCTTGGAAATGTTAAAGAGCAGCGCACCCTAGGAAGTTTTATTTAAAGAAGGCCCCAGGAGCCCACTGCGTCCCACTCACTCATGCTGCTGGCTGGGAAGAGAGGTGCTAGGGGTGCCTTTATTATCCTGAAAAGGAGAGTTCAGAGTCAGGTCTTGTAAAGTGGTTTGTTTGTTTTTTTTTTAAAGATCTTATTTATTTAAAATAAAATAAATAATAGAGATGGGAAGGGGGAAAGAGAAGGAGAAAAACATTGATGTGTGAGAGATCTATTGATAAGTTGCCTCTCACATGCTTCCAACCAGGAACCTGGCCCACAACCCAGGCATGTGGGCTGACTGGGAATCAAACTGGTAACTCTGTTTTGCAGGCTGGCGCTCAGTCCACCGAGCCACACCAGCCAGGGCTCGATCTCACAAACTTCTGAATGGGGTTTGAAAGCCATCCTGGGGAGGGCCTGCCTGGGGATCCCTGGGAGGGCGCCTGGGCGCCCTACAAGGCTGAGGGCCCTGCCTGTCCTGGTCCTCTCAAATCAGAGTCTAAAGTGTCCAGTTGAGGGTCTTGGGGGTGGAGGAAGGGTGTCAACCTGCCTTCCAGTCTTCCTTTGCCTGCTGGTAGGTGCCAGAATATATATACCATTGCGGCACCATTTTCTAAGTTTAAAGCCACACACCTGATGGACATGAAGACCCCCCTGAGAGGGGTGGAGCTGGAGAAGGCAGCGGGGCACCTGGGCTCTCCCAGCAACTCCACACAGCAGTGTGTGACTCTGCCCTTGCCCTCACTGGGACTGGGCCTCAGTATCTGCACCTGTAAGCCAGAGCTAAGCTGCCCTCCGGAGGAGCAGGTGAGGATTAGAGAAGGTCCTACTCTGCATTGGGGGATGGAAATGCCCCGACAACAGGTGCTATATCATGACGGTTTTCTCTGGTTATTCTGAATAATGGATGGATGGATGGGTGGATGCATTGAGCCCCCAGGACTGCCCCTCCCCTACAATGCCCTAACCCATTCACACTCTGCTTGCATGCTTCCTGCAATGGGAAGCTCACCCACTGCATTAGTTTGTTAGGGCTTCCATAATAAAGTACCACAAACTAAGAGGCCTAAAGCAACTGAAAATAATTATTTTCTCACAGCTTTGGAGGCCAAAATCCCAAAAACAAAGTGTCAGCAGGATCCTTGCTGCCCTTCCCAGCTGTGTGTGGCTCCTGTGATCCTTGTAGTCCTTGGCTTGTAGACTCTTCACTCCAACCTTTGCCTTTGTGTTCACATGGCCCTTCCTTGTATGTCTGTGTCTGTTGATGAGGACATGCACCCCATCCAGGATGATCTCATTTAAAGACCCATACCTTAATTGTATCTGCAAAGACCCTTTTCTCAGATAAGGACATATTCCTTGCAGGTACTGGGGCTAGGACTTCAACATATTTTTCAGGGGGGAGATGACACAATTGAGCCAGTACACCCTCAAGTACTGGATGCTTATAGTGTGGGTCAGCTCAGTTGGAGAGAACTGAGACCTGCCTCCCTGCCAGGGCCACTGGAGGTCTTAGAAAAATTCCAGCCCTGGCTGGGGTGGCTCACTCAGTAGACTGACTGCAGGCTTGAGAACGGGAAAGCTACTGGTTTGATTCCCAGTCAGGGCACATGCCTGCATTGCAGGCCAGGTCCCCAGTAGGGGGCCCATAGGAGGCAACCACACATTGCTGTTTCTCTCCCTCCCTTTCTCCCTTCCTTCCCCTCCCTCTAAAAGTTAATAAAAATAGTATCTTAAAATAAAAAAAAGGAAAAATTCCAGTCCCTGTTGCTGCTCCTATGTACTGTGAGCCCCTTGATGGCAGGGACCGGGTCCCCAGCACACCCTGCCCTGACACCTAGATAAGCCTGGATGACCCTGTGGGAAAAGCAGGGTGACAATATCCCCCTTGCTGGGCCACTGTACGCTGGCAAGGCAGGAAGGTCCGGAACCTCGGGAGACCAGCGGCAGCAGCATTGCTTCCTTCGGGCTGAAAAGTCCAGCTGCATTCACACAGGGATTCAACTGGGAAATGAAAAGGGTGTGAAACTGCGGCTTGCACAGGGGCTCCTGGGGTTTCCCACGCCGCAGGAATTCACCGGATGCTTGGGTCCAGCGGCAGGGGGTGTGGGAGGCTGAGGGGCTGAGGACTGCTGTACCCCTGCCCAGGTCAGTGCCCTGGGGTGTCTGCATCTTCTGTGTTCCTGTGTCTGTTCTGAACAGCATGCACTATGCTGGGTTGAGAAAACTGGGACCCTGACTTCATACCTATCCCTCCTCACCATGGGCCCTGGGACACCCCCAGGACAGTGCCCCCTACCCCTATGCAGGAGGCCAGCACAAGGACTGGGAGTGGGGGGGGGGGCCGGAAGGGCACAGGGCGGGAAGGGGCAGAGCCTCATTCCTGTGCTGCTGAGGCAAGCACAGAAGTCCCAGGTTGGGCAAGACTGGAAAGGCGCCACCAGTGGAAGGTCTGAGGGCATCCTCCAGGCAGTGCCTGGGAAGAACGCCCCTCAAACCACGCCCACGGGACCACACCCCTGATTACCACGCCCCCAGCTCTCAGAGATGCAAAGTCAAACGGACCGAGACGCAAGAAGAAGGATGTGCCAGGGCACTTCGAAGCAGGAGGAGGGGCTGGACAGAGGGGACAGTCACAGGCAGACAAATCCAGGAACACAGGCGGGCAGAGGGAAGGCAGAGGAGAGAAAGGCAGAGGCCAAGGCAGGAGGGACCGACATACCAGGTGCTTCACACGTGGCCCAGCCTGTAGCTCAGAGCCTGTACAGCCCTGGCTGGATAGAGGCAGCCAAGCGAGCCTGGGTTGGCAGGTGGCCTGCAGGAGGGGTTTGCCCCAGGCTCTTGGGGCTCCAGGCTTGAAGCTTTTACCTGTCCTGGAGGGGGCCCCGCCACAGGGCTCAGGCCCCTCGTCTGTGAAGTACAGATGACAATACTGTCTCCCCCTTCCCTGGGGGGTGTGGCCTTCCTGACCACTGGGTGCCAGGCAGTCTGGCCTGTGGTCTATCACTCAGCCCAGTCGTCTTGTTCCCACAGCACTTTGCACTGTTAGAAATGACCTCTTTACTGCATCCCTGTCCATGGCCCTGTACAGGGGCCTTTCCAGGGTTGGGAGGACCCTGCTTGTTCACGCAGGGCCAAGGCCAAGGCCTGGCTTTCCTCAGCCAGAGCTCCTGAGCCTCTCCTGCCGAGTGTGAAGGATGACTTCTGCTCTGGGAGGCTTACAGGCTGGCAGGGGAACTGCCACAGGGGGTTGGCAATAAGTAGGGGAGGGAAGCCAAATCTGGGGACAAAAGGGGCAGGTGGGGGCCCGAGCTTTGAGGGGAACAGCAGGGGCCTGACCCTGGGGCTGGGAGATGGAAATCAAGATCTGGTCCCTTCCTTTGAGAAGGGTCAGTGTTAGGAGCTTGGAGCCAAGTGCTTCCCGGGGTTACACTCGAGGAAAAACAAGCTGACAGTTCGAGGACAGCACTGTGGCAGCAGATCAGACAATGGAGGGACTGAGGGGATGGAGCCAGCTGGCCGAGCTGAGGAAGTGGGAGGGGACAGCCAGGGCAGAGTTCCAGGACCAGGAAACAGCAAGTGCAAAGGCCCCACGGTGGGAGGGACGGCCAGCAGGTGGGGAGGGGTGAGCATAGCTATGGGGTGAGGACTGGAGGGCAGGGGATCCCACAGCGGCCTGGACACTCCGCCCGGACACTTGAGGAGCAGTGTGGTGGGAGGAGACGGAACTTGAGAAACTTGTAATTATCCCCACTATTTGCATGTTAACCTCCTGTCAAGACCTCAATCAACAGAGGTGTCCCTTTTCTCAGGTGCCTGGCCTGGAGCGTTCTTTCCACTAGACCTTGGGAGGTAGAGCTGGCTCAGGGTGTGCCCCTCCCCGCTCCCAGGACAGGTAGGTGCCCCAGCCTAGCCCAGGCGAGCCAGGACGCTAGACAGCAAATGGAAACCTGCTGAGTTAAACCTAGTTTGGGTCAAGGGGATCTAGTGCAGTGACTGCAGCCTGGGGGTTAGAGGTCAGGGTCAGGTCAGCCTCTTGGGACTGGAAAGGGCTAGAAGAGGGAGAGCTGAGTGCAGAGACCTGTGCACTGGGCTCACCTGTGGCCTCCCGGCTTGAGAGGGGCAGTCACTGCCCAGCTGGGTTGCGGGGCCCAGTGGCTTGGGGACACAGAGCACACAGGGACAGGCTGGCACTCAAGGTGTCCTGGATTCTGACTCCCTGTCCTTTAAAGCCACTAATTCAGAAAATGGGAGTTCCCTTTGCACCTGGCTTTGACCTGATGGCAAACCAGATAAGCCTTTAAAAAATTGTGGCAGAACCCTGGCTGGTGTGCTCAGCGGGTTGAGCACTGACCAGTGAACCAAAATGTTGGTTCAATTCCTAGTCAGGGCACACGCCTGGGTTACGGGCCAGGTCCTCAGTTGGGGCGTCCAAGAGGTAACCAAGGAACATTTCTTTCCCTCTCTTTCTCCCATTTCCTCCCCTAAAAAAATAAAATCTTAAAAAAAAAAATGGTGGAAGACACTTGACTGAGGCTGCTGTGATGGAAGAGGAGCCTTGTGGCCTGT